GGAGTCATGGATTCTGGAGCTTCGTTCCATTCGTGTGGTAATGCTGAAGTGTTGGAACATTATACTCCCGACAATTTTGGAGAGGTGTATCTTGCTGATGATGAGCCTCTTAAAATTGTCGGAAAGGGTACAGTCCATGTGAAGACTCCGAACGGTTGCATGCTGAAACAGAATGGAGTCTGACACATTCCTGGTTTGAGGAGAAATCTACTTTCAGTTGGGTAGCTAGATGAGGAAGGCTATGCAGTTACATTCGGCAGCAGAAACTGGAAGATCACCAAAGGAGTCTTGCTGATTGTTAAAGGGAAGAAGGAGGGTACGTTGTACATGACAATGAACTCGAAGGACTGCATCGATGTTGTTGCCACTGCAACAAACGATGTGAAATCATGGCATCGTCGTCTTGGTCATATGAGCGAAAAGGGGATGGAGGAGTTGTGCTCAAAGGGCAAATTGCCCGTCCTAAAGAGTGTTAAGGTTAGCTTATGCGGGGACTGCATATTCGGGAAACAGAAACGTGTCAGTTTCTCGAAGGGTAGATGAGCTATTAAACCGGAGAAGTTGGAACTAGTTCACACCGACCTTTGGGGACCTACAAAAGTTACATCCTTAGGAGGATCCGCCTACTACATGACCTTTATTGATGATGCCACAAGAAAGATGTGGGTTTATTTTCTCAAAAATAAATCTGAAGCCTTTGATGCTTTTAGGAGGTGGAAAACTCGTGTTGAGACAGAGACAGGTCTGAAATTGAAGTGCCTTCGGTCTAACAATGGAGGTGAGTATGAACTGCTGAGTTCAAGAAGTTTTGTGCTAAGAATGAGGTTCATATGGAGAAGACAACAAAGGGGACTTCGCAGCATAATGGCGTTGCTGAACGCATGAACAGAACACTGAATGAGCGGTCAAGATGCATGAGGTTGAAGAGTGTCTTACAGAAGATGTTTTGGGCAGATGCGGCGAACACCACCGCAGCTTTTCTCATCAACAGAAGTCCAACGATCTCGTTGGATAATGGCATACCTGAAGAAAGATGTAAATCTGTCCTATCTCCGCATATTTGGTTGTGTTGCTTATTTTCATATCAGTTTCGTTGACCGGCAAGCTAGTCACAAAATCTGTGAAATGTACGTTCGTTGGATATGGTGGTGATGACTATGGGTACAGATTCAGGGATGATCAGAATAGGAAGATTATTCATAGTCGAGATGTGGTCTTCAACGAACAGATTATGTACAAGGACAGATTGAGTGCATCTGATTCTGAGAGTGACATTCCGAAAATCATAGTGTTGAATATCTCTAATTCGGGTGGGAGCGAGAAGGATCAGAATGAAGAAGTGACCAGTGATGAAGATCCATCAACCCCACCAAGGCAGCGGCCTGCCAGAAACCAGAGAGCACCAAATAGGTATTCACCTTCTAATTTCAATTTGTTGTTTACTGATGGTGGTGAATTGATATTCATGTAATTTCTGATTGTATGTTTGTATTTTTAAGAAGTTTTTATTAGTTCTAGTTGTGGAAATTACACACTTTTAGTGTAGTACTTTATTTTCATTTTTGATTCGTAATTTGTTTAAATTAGGATTATTCTGAGCTAAACAGGTCAAAGATCATTCAAGAGATCAAGATTGGACCTTAAAAGATCAAGGAAAGTGCAAGGAGGCAAGAAAGATTTCGATTTGGAAAAAATATTCATGTACCTGGTCGGGTATTGCCTATACCCGATTGGGTATTTGATTGATTCGATTTTCCAAATAAAATCCGGGAACAAATGATCGTGGGAGCGAATTTTCGTGAAGATTTTTCACATACCCGATCGGGTATGCCCAGAAAAGTGACTTTCTGGGCAATTTCCTAAGATACCCGGTCGGGTATCCTATATACTTGGTCGGGTATCAGACCCTGCAGCTCCCAAAAGCCTATAAATACACCCCTTTCCTTCCCAATAAAATCACCAATTCTTATACACTTCTAAGCTCAGTTTAGTTAAGTACTTTCTTTATATTTTTATAATGTTTAGTCTCCAAATGAGGAGCTAAACTCTTCCATCTTGGTTTTGCCACTTTGAAGTTTAATGAATTTTTAAGTTGTGAGTTATTCTCTTTAATCTTCTTCCTTGAATATTAATTCTTCCTTTAAATACTATATCTATATCAATGTTGGGGAGTGTTACTAAGATTACAATTAGTTAACATCTTGACATTAGTTATAGTAATAGTTATTTCTTCCTCTATGTTAATATTGGGGAGTGTTACTAAGATGACAATTAGTTAACATCTTGATATTAACTATAGTAGGATTCATCTTCTTTAATATTCTTCCTTGAGTATTAATTAATTCCTATTCATATTTCATATTAATATTTTGAACATTACTTCAACTAGTTTTGTTTCATATATTAATTATTACTAGAATCGATCGACGAATACGCTTCTTAATCGTTCGATCGTTTCACGGTAGTAAACTTGGGTTATTAATGGTTAATAAACCAAGGGGAATTAATTATGTTGATTAAACCAATAAACCGCTTGTGTTGAGGTTATCAATCTCAATCATTTTCATCTTGATTTTATTGCTACTATCGGGTTAATATACGGCGTGTGTTCTATATTAACTCGGTAGTAAGTTTTATTAATGAACGCGTCTCGTTATTAGTAACTACCCTCGATGAACTGGATATACTCCTCGATTGAGTATTCGAGAGGAAGATAGTTAAAGATATAACCGGGATCGACGAACATTTCATTAAGTGGATAAAAGCAAAACCAAGCCTTCATCTATTATTAATTAAACCACATAAGTCACTCAACTTGGTGTTTTAATACTCTTAATTAAGTTCTTCAACAAACTAAACCCCCCCCCCCCCCTTGTGACAAGTTATATAAAAGAAAAGTATTCTTTTCCCTGTGGATACGAACTTTACTACGATATACTACGTATAAGTGTTGTATTGTATTATTATTTTTTGTGTACATCACGACAAAGTGCACGTCATGAACCGAAGTCCTATGCAGAGGCAGTTCGTGTTGATGACAAGGTCAAGTGGAAGCTTGCAATGGATGATGAGATGGCATCTCTCACACTCAATGGTACTTGGAGGTTAGTTGAGCTACCGAGAGGAAAGAAGGCTTTGCACTGCAAGTTGGGTACCACATCAAGAAGGAGGCAGATGGTAGCAAACGCTACAAAGCTAGGCTGGTTGTGAAGGGATTCGAGCAGCGGTATGATATCGACTACACCGACATATTCTCTCCAATTGTGAAACCAACTACTATTCGGTTAGTGTTGGGGTTAGTTGCTGCCGAGAATTTGTTGTTACATCAGATGGATGGGAATACTGCATTCCTTCATGGTGATCTGAATGATGAGATTTACATGGTGCAACCGGAAGGCTACGTGGCAGAGGGCAGTGTGCAACTCATATGTAAGCTAGTGAAGAGCTTATACGGGTTGAAACAGGCACCGAAGCAGTGGTACAAGAAATTTTATGGTTTCATGAGGGACATAAATTTCTTGAGATGCCACACCGACAATTGCTGCTACTACAAGAAGACCGAGAATTGTTATCTTATCATGTTGTTATATGTTGATGATATGTTGATTGTAGGAGCTAGTTCAAAGGAGATTAAGAAGCTAAAGAAACCGTTGTCAGAACGTTTTTTTATGAAGGATCTTGGAGATGCAAAGAAGATTTTGAGCATGCGAATCGAGAGGGATGAGGCTACAGGCAGATTGTTTCTTTCACAGGCAGAATATATTTAGAAGGTCTGGGAAAGATTCAGAATGCAAGATGCAAAGGCAGCAAGTGTACCACTGGGTAGTCACTTTAAGCTTAGCAAGGAAGATTCGCCGAAGAACAAGGAGGAGCGTGCTCAAATGCAGAATGTCCCATATGCCTCGGCAATTGGCAGCATCATGTACACTATGGTGTGCACGAGGCCAGACATTGCACATGCGGTGGGAGTAGTGAGCAGATACATGGGAGACCTAGGGAAAGAACACTGGGAAGCTGGGAAGTGGATCATGAGGTATTTGAAAGGTACTGCTTTTAAGGTTTTGTGTTTTGATGGGAAGAATGTAGAGTTACCAGGACATGTTGATGCAGACCTGGCATCGAATGACTCGGATGAATCTAGGAGCACCACCGAGTATGTTTTTACGTTTGGTGGAACGGCAGTTTCCTGGCTTTCGCTACTGCAGAAGATTGTTGCATTATCTACCACTGAAGCTGAATATGTGGCCATTACGGAGGCCAGTAAGGAGATGGTGTGGCTTCAGAATTTACTTGGGGAGCTTGGGAAGGACTACAAGAATAGCATTCTTTACAGTGACAGTCAAAGTGCTATTTTCTTGGCAAACAACTCAGCTTTTCACAAGAGAACCAAACACATTCGGTTGAAGTATCACTACATTCGTCATGGTCTGAAGATAGAGGCATTGCAGCTTGTGAAGATCCATGGGAGTGACAATCCAGCATACATGTTTACTAAGGTGGTAACCTTGGAGCAATTAAAGCTTTGCATAGTGATGTGAGTTTTCTCGCACTTGAAAAGATTGTAGAAAAGTGGTGGAAAGTACGAGTATCGTCTCCACAGGGACGGACAAAAGGGAATTAAAGATTAACTAAATTCAGCGATTAAAAAGAAATAAAATAAAAAAATGCAAGTGTGCGAGATTTGATTGGTGAATTAAAATTAAACTAATGCGAATGAGCGATAAAAATAAAAGATTGGTTTCTTCTCAATTAACGACGAAGGGAACAGGAATTGATTCCGGGGTAACCAGATTTCTGGCAGATCAGGCCTAATTACATGAATTTAATTTAATTGAGCCTAGCTAATCATTACTAAGTTCTTACCGCTCTCGCGGCGTAGAGTACAATAATTTAGGGGTCCAGGCTGATCTCTCATGCGACAAGATCCTAAATTATTGCCAAAACGAACGAGCTTACGGCCCCTTAATCGCTACTAATCTCTTAGCGAACGATTAAGTGTGTGTGAATGTGTCCTAGAACAAATTAGATCTCTCTTAATTTATTCTATAAGCAATTGTAATTCTAGTGGCCATCTAGGTTACAAGAGATATCAATTAAATTATTCATACACAAATTAAACGGCATTCATGCAATTAAACCGTCAAGAATCTAGCCATACATCATGATTAACCCCTTCATCAATCCCAAATCCCTAATTAAACTACTCACAATTCATAATTGAAGAATCAACAGAATTGAGATGAATAGAATAAATTGTCATTAATTAAAAAGATGAACTTACAAATAATCCCAGGGTCTTGGAAGAAAATAGCGTAAAAACGGTGTTAAATTCGTCCCTAGGCCTCTCCGTAATGTTCGTAACCTCCAAAAAGGGTTAGGGAGGCCTTATTTAGAAAAAAGGGGAAAAACCGAATTTGGGCCGAAATAGGATTTTTCCGCGCGTGTCACGGGGCTACGCACGATCGTGCGTCCCTGCCTACGCACGATCGTGCGTAGCAGGCAGAAGCTTCAATGCTGTTTAGTAATGGACGCACGATCGTGCGTCCCAGACGCACGACCGTGCGTCTGACTTTTTCGCTCCGTTTTCTCGTTTTCTTGCTCCAAATGTGTCCAGACTCATCCGAGGTCGATCCCAATGCTCTTCCTTCTTCAAAATTTCGCCGTGAATCACCTGGTGACCTCCAAATCTCTCAATTCTTCCTTGAATGCTCTCTATCTCCTCCCGATTGTCTCTTTAGCGCCGATTGCCGGACTCTAACTTCTTCAAATCAACTCCAAATGCAACGAAACTTGATCCAACGCCTGCTAAACACAACTTGAGCCAAAATTGAGACTTGCAACGCCTTAAAGCCAAGAAAATCATCAAAATCCGACCTAGACACGCATTAAATGCGTGTCTAAATACGAACTTATCAGACTCCCCCACACTTAAGCTTTTGCTTGTCCTCAAGCAAATCGAACAACGGGACTTACGATAATCACCACACGGAATTTAAAATAGTTAGCATACACATGTAGTTAAAGGGATATTCACAGGACAGACAGTTTAAATCAAGAAAATCCTTCCCTAAACTACGCCTTTGTACTCAAGCTAAACTATTTGACACAATTATTCACAACATCCTCAAAGTAATGACAGCATACACAAATAAACTAGTTATTGATCAGAAGGACTTGTGAAGGTGAAGATGGATGGATAATAATAATAGTCCCTTTATTTTGAGAGATCGGGATATTCTAACAAAGACTCAAGGCATTCAGGAACTTCAGGGCTATTCTTAGGAACAAGGAACTCAGTAGGCCACAGTTTAGGAACAATCATTTAAACCTATGCAAAGAGTAGACATGGTGTACAACTAAGCTAAACCGTCTCGGCACATTTGTGCTTTGACGTATACTTGAAGTACGCGGAGGACTAGAGCTAAATTTTGAGATAGCCTCCAAGTTCATTAATTTAAGTTTAGTTTTCCTTGTCATGTTGGCACGAGAACGCCGTTTCTTTCGAAAGATACCCAAGTCTCATCTTACGCTTTTTGACCGGGGCTCCCATTCTCTTTTTCGCAAAGTAAGAGGTCTAGCTATATAAATTTTTCACCTTTCGGATTCTCACTAGACATTACCCCATTCTAATCTCGGCCTCACCAAGGAAAAATAGCAATTAAAGTTCATTAATTTCAAAGTGAATCCATGCCTACAATGCAATCCTCGAAAGTATCAAGTTCCTAAAAAGTGACTGCTCTTACCCCATTTGGGGCATAGGAACAGTGCCAAAATGGCTCCTTACACAAAATTCCCTAAACCTAGCAAATTAATCCCCTATTTCCCTAAACATCAAGACTAAGTCAGAAATATTCACGGGTAAGGAAACACAGGCCATTTGGCTATGGAGCTCAATTAATTGGGTAAACAAAGAACAGTCAGGCTCAAAATGGCTTCTCCTAAAGGACTTTATTCAGGTCAATGGGAAAACTGTTGATTCATTACATGGGTGACTAATGCCTTCATCCTTTCAACAACCAGATTATCATGCAAGCAATTTAAGCCTAAACACTTCAAGGATGTCCTAAAAGCATAGTCAAAACGCTAGCCAGTTCACAAAGACACAGTTTAAAGAAAAAATTTCAAAAATTGTGCATGGATTTCCTATGAATATACAACTAACACCTGCGCATGCTAACTCTAACAAATCACATGTAACAACCACTGCCCGAATGCCCAATTCACTCCCCCACACTTAAACTTTGGCATCGTCCTCGATGACCAAAAAAATGCATTATGTACTAGGGGTAAAGAGGAAAGGGTCACGCGTGCTCAACATTAACTCAAGTCATTATCACAAGAATAAAAACCAAAGTAACTTCCCTATGGCGATGGTTGGAGTAGAACTCAACTGTGTGAAATGAACTCGGCAATTTCATCCACGGGACTAGTAAGCTGCAATCATCAAAACACAAACAAAATCCAAGAAATACGGAAAAAGAGTAAAGAGTAACGTGAGTGAGTGAGTGAGTGAGTGTGAAAGTATAGATACAGTCATCCAACAACAAATCAGAGAACAGAGGCTAACGGCGAACAATCTACCAAATCACTACTGCTCCGGAGGTGGCGGTGGCTGCTGTGCATCGAAGAACGAATTCCAGCTGGACTCTAAGGATGTGACACGAGTGTCCAACTCCGCGTACTGTACGCGCAGGTTGGAAAACCCGGTCGTAATGTCCTCATGAATGGTCCGCTGGAGCTCTCTGTGGTAAGTCTGCCTCTCCGCCCGGACCTCCTGAAAGAATGCCTGCTGGTCCGCCCTCATCTGGCGATAAAGCTCCTGCTGTCTCTGTCGCTCTGCCTGAACATCGGCAAAGAAGCGCTGCTGACTCTCAAAAAGTGACCTGTGATGGCGCTGCTGACTCTCCCTCCACTCGACATGATACGCCCTCTGCTCCTCATGCCAACTCGAAAAAGCATCCTGAAAAGCAGGTGGCATGACAGGAATAGAATGAGCAGCATCATGGTCCATAGCTGCTCCTCCCCCCTCAGTGTGGTGCTCCTCCTCATCATCATCATCAACGTGGCCAGCTGCGCCGCCCTCCTGAATATGGATCCCTGCCTGATGCGGTACTCTCTGCTCTCCCTCAACTGGCTGCTCTGCTAGGCGCCTCCTTCTGGCCACCCCGGTGTTCAGCTCTGGAAGCTTAGTCAACGGCGCATAGTAAGAACTCTCATCCATGTTTACAAAGTGGTCGCCGTAACCCATCCCACGCAGAAGGCTGGTGATGTAGGGTCCAGAAAAGATAGCCTTGATCTTGTAGGTAGACTGACGGTGGAAAAGGCCGGCAATGATAGCACCCATGTGTGGTAGCTTGTTGTGGATCATGCAATAAAGGCACAAAAGATCTGTAGTGGAGACCTTGCCTGCTACCTCGGCCCTCCCAGTGATGGTGGATGAAAGAAGGGAATGGATAACTCTAGGGGTGTCCCGGGGGTCATAAGTGCCGCCGTCTCTAGAAATGCTCTCCCAAAACTTCTGGCGATCTACATCTCGTGGAAAATCAGTCAAGCCTGCTTCATCCTCTGCTCTATCCTCAATCCGGGTAAAACCTAAGTGCCACTGGATGTTGTAAATGGATATGGCATGGTCCTCATTGAAAGCCCGGAACTTAATTAAGGGTCGGTGGTTATCGGAGAAACGGATAGATCGAGGCACTTTAATTGTGGCCAACACTTCGCAAGTTACTTCTTTGTATGTGGTCTCTCGGATGCCAAAGAAAAGGTGTTGCCACCATCCCCGACGGAGTAGCGTCATCACCTCATCATGAAGCCCAGCGGCTGTCAAGGTGGGCTCATCAGGATAATGAAACGTGCCCACCTCCTTTTTCAGCAAATCGAGGTATGTGATCATTTGTTCGTCCTTCGGGAATTGAGGCTGATATCGGGGACCTGTAGCCCGACTAGAGCTGGTTCCAACATTCTTGGTTCGCTTCTTTGGTGGCATCTGTCAAGACAATTCAACAACAACAACAACCATTCCAACGGGGCTTCCAAGTATTAGAATAAAACTCCAAATCAAAAGTAATAACCCCGTCAGTAATCAGTCATTCAAGAGCATCAACATAATTATCAACAAATCCAAGTTTAACCAGAATAGTTGAAACTTTTGAATTTTTATCAAAGAAAATTTCTTTGAAGTAAAGTCAAATATTTCAACGACACACGGTATAAACAAGGTCACAAGCAAGAATTCTTATCAAAACAAGTGTTAAGAATGGAGTTCCTCCCAAAAGAATTAAAGAGATATTAGATTAGGGGAAGAACTCTCAATTCTCAAATTGGACACGTTTGGCCTAAAATTTGGGGATTTATGCTCAATTTAACTCAACAACAATTATTCAACATCATAATCAACAATTCATTCCTTAATTGAAGCAAGGAGCACAAAAACCCCAAATTTATCTCACATTCATCAATTGTCAACCCTATATTGGCTAAATTAGCTCAAAAATTAAGGATTTCAATCAAAAGAAATAAATTTATCAATCATAGAATATCAAAATCATCATCACAAGCTTCAATTTAATCATGTGGATGTAAATCTCTAATTTTAGAGCATAAGAATTTAGATTTCTAGAAAAGCTTGGAGAAGCCTCCATTAATGGAGAAGAGAGAAGAAAAGAGAAGAAGGAGATACCTTGGAGAAGAGAGAGAGAAGAGGGCGGTGGGTGGTGGGTGGCGCGGCGGTCGCGGCGAACGCGGCGGTCGCGGGTGGTTCGGCTGTCGCGGCTGGTGTTCTTCGAAGGGGAAGGGGGAGATGGTCTGGGTTCGTGGATCGAGTAAGGGGAGAGAAGGGGTGGGGTTGGGTAATGTTTTAATTAGGGGGTGGTTTAGGGATTTTAGGACGCACGATCGTGCGTAGGGGGCGACGCACGATCGTGCGTCGATGGCAGCAGCTCCCCCGCGGTTTCAAGTGTTACGCACGATCGTGCGTAGGGGGGGACGCACGATCGTGCGTCGATGGCAGTAGCTTCCCCCGTGTTTCTTTCTTTGACGCACGGCGTGCGTCCCAGACGCACGACCGTGCGTCCGCACGAACAGTAAATTTTTTTTTTTTTTTTTTTTTTTTTTGTGGCTTTTGTGGGTTTTTTGAAAAGCAACAAAACTAAACTAAACAAAAACAAATTAAGCTCGGGTTGCCTCCCGAGAAGCGCTATTTTTAACGTCGTTTGCCCGACGCAACTACACACTCATCTCTCCAAATTTGTGACAAAGGTCACCTCACGCTCGCGTTCTAGCGGTCCTCCGTAATATTTCTTCAAATGATGGCCGTTAACTTTAAAACGGCCCTTCTCAGGATGATCTATCTCAACAGTTCCATATGGAAAAACTTCGCTCACTACAAAAGGACCGGACCACCTAGACTTCAACTTTCCTTTAAAAATCTTCATTCGGGGATTGAATAGCAGAACTTGATCCCCCTTACAAAACTCTTTTCCTTGCTTAATGTGCCGATCATGATAGGCTTTGGTACGCTCCTTACTAATTTTAGAGTTCTCATAGGCCATAAGCCTCCACTCATCCAACTCATTGAGCTTCCAAAGCCGTTCACGACCCGCCAAAGACAAATCTTTATTCAACGTTTTCAAGGCCCAGTAGGCCTTATGCTCTATCTCTACCGGAAGGTGGCAGGCCTTCCCATAAACCAAGTGAAACGGAGTAGTGCCGATGGGTGTCTTATACGCTGTACGCAGTGCCCACAACGCATCATCTAGCTTATCAGACCAATCCTTCCTATGGGTCTCAACGGTCTTCTCAAGGATGGTCTTAATGTCCCTATTCGAGTTCTCTACTTGGCCACTAGTTTGAGGGTGATAAGGGACGCCCCCTTTATGAGTGACCCCGTACTTTGCCAGAAGGCGAGTCATGGGATCATTCCTAAAGTGGGTTCCCCTGTCACTTATCAAAACTCGTGGCACTCCAAATCTAGAAAACAATTTCTTCAGAAAACGAATCACAACTCTAGCATCATTAGTGGGTAGAGCTTCAGCCTCAACCCACTTGGAGACATAATCCACAGCAACCAGAATGAATTTATTACCTTTAGAACCCGGGAACGGCCCCATGAAGTCAATGCCCCAAACGTCAAATACCTCACAAGCCAATATAAAATTTTGGGGCATCTCATCCCTCTTGGTAACCGGCCCGGTGCGTTGACACCTGTCACATTCCTGCACAAACGTTAGAGCATCTTTAAACAAAGTGGGCCAGAAGAAACCACATTCCAACACCTTACGAGCTGTCCGGTTAAAAGAATAGTGTCCCCCAGTCGGTCCGGAGTGACAATGTTTGAGAATCTCAACTCCTTCGCTAAGAGGAACACATCTCCTAACAACCTGATCAGCACAAATACGAAACAAATATGGTTCCTCCCAGAAATAATATTTCAAATCAGCAAAAAATTTCCGTCGTTGATGAGGTGTATAATCAGAAGGAACAACACCCCCAACAAGATAGTTGGCGATGTCAGAAAACCAAGGCACCTCATCAACGATCCTCAACAGTCTCTCGTCAGGAAAAGTACCCTCAATATCTCTCTCACTCAAGGAATCAAGAAAGGGGTTTTCTAACCTACTCAAGTGATCAGCCGCTAAATTCTCAGCCCCTTTCTTATCCCTAATCTCAATATCAAACTCCTGGAGTAGTAATATCCACCGAATCAATCTAGGCTTAGCATCCACTTTTTGCATCAAATATTTAAGAGCAGAATGATCGGTGAATATCACTACCTTAGACAAAATCAAATAAGGACGAAACTTGTCAAGAGCAAACACAACAGCAAGCAATTCTTTCTCGGTGGTAGTGTAGTTTTCTTGGGCACTATCGAGAGTCTTTGAAGCATAAGAAATAGGCTGAAAATGTTTCTCTCGACGCTGCCCAAGAACGGCTCCTACTGCAAAATCACTAGCATCACACATAATCTCAAAAGGCAAAGACCAGTCAGGAGCTACTACCACCGGTGCCTTGACCAGTTTCTCCTTCAAACACTCAAAAGCCTCTAAACACTCCTTTGAGAAGTCAAACGGTGCATCCTTCTCAAGGAGCTTAGTCATGGGTCTGGCTATCTTAGAAAAGTCCTGGATGAACCTACGGTAAAAACCTGCGTGGCCTAGAAAACTCCTAATGGCACGGACCGAAGTAGGGGGAGGTAGTTTAGAAATCACATCAACCTTAGCCGGATCAACCTCTATCCCCCTACTTGAAATCTTATGCCCTAGGACCACTCCCTCACTAACCATGAAGTGGCACTTCTCCCAGTTAAGTACCAAATTCACCTCTCGACACCTAACCAGGACTTTCTTCAAGTTCTCTAAGCACTCATCAAAAGTATCACCATAAACAGAAAAGTCATCCATGAAAACCTCCATAAACTTCCCAATGAAATCCCCAAAAATAGCAAGCATGCATCTCATAAAGGTAGCAGGGGCATTACATAATCCAAACGCCATCCTCCGATAAGCAAAGGTACCGAATGGACATGTAAAAGTGGTCTTATCCTGGTCCTCGGGGGCTATGGGGATCTGGAAGTATCCCGACATCCCGTCAAGGAAACAGTAAAACTTATGCCCTGCTAGCCTCTCTAAAATCTGATCAATGAAGGGGAGGGGGAAGTGGTCCTTCCGGGTGGCGGCATTCAACCTTCGGTAATCAATGCAAACCCGCCATCCGGTGACCGTACGTGTAGCAATCAACTCATCTTTCTCATTCCTAACCACAGTCATCCCCCCTTTCTTGGGAACCACCTGGGTCGGGCTGACCCAAGGGCTGTCTGAAATTGGATAAATAATTCCTACATCTAACAGACGGATGACTTCCTCCCTGACTACCTCCTGCATATTAGGATTCAGTCTCCTTTGTGGCTGCACTACCGGTTTAGCATTATCCTCCATCAAAATTTTGTGAGTGCAGAAAACGGGACTGATTCCTTTCATGTCGGAAAGTTTCCGGGCTAGAGCTTCCCTTTGTTCACAAAGTAAATTAAGACATGCAGATTTTTGGGATGGCTCAAGCCCGGATGCAAGAATAACAGGGAGGTCAGAACTATCATCTAGAAACGCATACTCAAGGTGGGAGGGAAGAGGCTTTAGATTTAATGGAGAAGGAGTAACAATAGAAGAATCAGTCTGACAGTCTTCCTTCTCCACCTTATCTAGGTCATCTTCCTTCCCCTTCACATCACTAGTATCACTTGAGTCCTCCTCCCCATCAAGCATAAGACAATCAAAACTGGGGAGGAGCTCAAGATCCTCTGCTGACAAACTATCATCCAAAAGAAGATCAAAGAAGGCTTCATCAGAAAGCATGTTAGGAATGCAATCCTCCACCAAAGAATCAACCACATCCATGTAAAAACACTCACCACTATCTTGACAGGGCCTCTTCATTATTTTGGACATGTCAAAGGTGGCAGACTCATCCCCAACGCGGAGGACAAGCTTACCGTCTCCAACATCAATAAGTGCACGGGCAGTTGCCAAGAATGGTCTGCCCAAAATCAATGGTATCTCCCGATCCTGATCCATGTCCAAAATAACAAAGTCTACCGGAAAAATAAATTTGTCCACTTTAACCAACACGTCTTCAATAATCCCTTGGGGATATTTGACTGAACGATCAGCCAACTGAATGCACATACGTGTAGGCTTAAGTGGACCGAGTGCAAGCTTTTCATATAAAGCAAGAGGCATCAGATTAATGCTTGCACCCAAATCAGCCAGGGCCCTATCAAAAGTAAGATCTCCTATAAAGCAGGGAATAGTAAAAGAACCTGGATCCTTAAGCTTCTTCGGCAGATCTGTCCGTATCACCGCTGAGCACTCCTCATTAAGCGTCACAGTAGACGCTTCTTCCAGCCTCCTCTTGTTCGTGAGCAAATCCTTCATAAACTTCGCGTACTTCGGCATCTGAGCTAGTGCATCCACGAATGGTAAGTTAATCTGCACTTGTTTCATGAGATGCAGAAACTTACCAAACTGGTCACTATCGTTCTTCCTAGTTAATCGCGCCGGATAGGGGAGAGGTGGGGTGTAATTCTTGACCGGAACGGACTGTTTTGGTGCAGCCACCACCTCTCTTCCCTCATCTTTCTCCTTCTCTTCCTCCCGGACAGCCGGTTCAACTTGAACTTCATCGGGCTTCTTTGTTATGGCAGCAGGTTCTAGCTCTTTTCCGCTCCTCAAGGTCACAGCCTGAACATGTTCTCTGGGATTTGGTTCGGTATTACTAGGGAGGGATCCCTGAGGCCTCTCAGATAAAGCCTTTGAGATCTGCCCCATGTGAGTCTCCATGCTCTGCATCCTTGCCTCAAACATTTGCATCCTTGAGTCGGCTTTCAGCTGATTTTGTGCTAATTTGTTGAGCACTTCTTCCAAGCTAGAAAATTTTTGCTCGGTCTCCCTTCTGAAGCTTCCTTGCGCCGGTTGAGGAGCTTGTTGCTGGCCTTGAGGTATCTGGGGCTGATTAAAGTTTCTTGACTGCTGCTGATTTCCCTGCCCGTATTGCCCTTGCTGCTGCTGTCCGTAGGGCTGATTATAGTATCCCTGTCGCTGATAATACATCGCATCCACTTGCTCTACTCCAGGGGCTGCCGAGTGTGCCATCATTGTGCATTCATGTGGCGAATGGAGTCCCCCACACATAGTACAAGAGGGACTAAGAGGAACGGGGGCTACCATATTCACACTGGGCACCGAGAGAGCAAGTTCCGTCTTCTTCTGATTGTCGTCCACCGTAGTAGCAAGCTTCTGAATTAAACTGGTCAAAGCATCTACCCTTGCAGAAAGGGCAGAATTCTCACTGATCTCGTACAATCCCGGGGCCTTCTGGTGAGGTGTGTCCCGAGAACTGTACCATGAAGCATTATTGGACACAATCTTCTCCACCAATTCTTCCGCAACCTCAGATGGCAACTGAGGAAAAGCTCCACCTCCCGAAGCATCAAGCATCATCTTGCCTTCATTATTGAGTCCACTATAGAAACAAGATAAAACCTCGCAATCAGTCATCTTGCCTTGAGGGCAAGCTCTTCTCAGCACCTTGAACCTCTTCCACGCCTCAGCTAGTGTCTCCAAAGAACCTTGCTTGAATTCCTGTAGCTGCTTCTTCAACTTTATGGCCTTTGATGTTGGGAAGTATTCTTTTATGAAGGCCTTGTGCAGTTGATCCCAAGTCTGAATGTGGTGATGTGGATTGCTATCCAACCACCTCTGCGCGTCATCCCTCAAAGAGAAAGGGAATAATAGCATCCGTACCTGATCATCATCTAGCCCAGGAATCTTGAAGGTCTGGCACATCCTCAGAAATTTGGTAATGTGTGCCACTGGATCTTCCGTAGGGCTCCCTCCAAACTGATTATTTAGGACCATATTGATCACCGCTGGCTTGATCTCGTAACGGGGTGCAGTAATCCCCGGTACCTGAATGCTA